CTGAAGATGTTACCAGCCGGGTAACGAAAAGTTTGCAAGAAAACAACCAAGCTCAGAGAACCCCAAGGACTCCACAGTTCAAACCTGAGCTACACATATTTGCTTCTATTGCTAAGGTAGAACTAGAACTCACAGTCTCCCAGTTTCTAGCCCAGTACTCTAACCACTACACCAAACTAGCTCTCAAACTTGTCCATAGATCAAGCTTAACTTGAGGGCATCTCTATCTTCTGGGAAGCTGGGTTTTTTAAAGAGCGAAATGAGTAACTTAAGCTTCTACATGGCTAAGGAATCCACTTGCTCAGCCCCAAAAGGATGTCCCAATCCGCAACAGAAAGAGAAATGCAGGGCGCGGCGTGTAGTTGATTTCTTCTTAAATACGCTTTGCGGTTTAATATGCATTGGGGTTTATTCAACAAACTGTGGCTAAAACAAAACCATGGCTTCATCTAATGTGCAGAGCCAACCTCTGACCCTCAAACACTTGCTATTTTTCTCCCACCAAAATATCTTTAAAGCTGCAGACTTGTTCCCCAATTGTTATGAACAGGATCTGGGAATCAGGAAGAGTTTCTGTTTGCTTTTTTAAAAAGAATCTGAATGCCGTTTTACCCAAAACAAGACAAGAAACCTTAGAGATTCCAGAATAGGCAGAAGCTGCCCAATTGTGCAACTAAACTATTTCTACAATGTCAGGAAAAAGAAAACAAAACAAACCCAAGCTGGTTATAAGGAATGCAGTGCTTTGAAAGCTGATCCTTATTCAATTATTAATTGGAGCCTGTAGCTCAGAGAGCACAGGACTGAAATATCTATTTAATGGCACTGAAGAGTTTACCATTTCATGCCAAGGATTAATGGCAGAGAGCTCTGGGAGGGAGGGGTGTGCATGTCCAAGAACACAGAAAACATTAAGGGAAAAGAAACCAACTGCTTTGTTATGTACATATTGATGAGAGTTCTAGTGTTGACTCTATTCAGGCCTAGAAATATTGCAAAATTCCTTTTTTTCTACCTCCAATTTAGCACCAGGGTTTACTGAGCCATGAACTCGTAGAAGGTTGCTGCATGCTCCAGGTAACACAATGCAGCATCTTTTATTTCACTCACGTGATTCCACGCACAGAAAAAAGGGGCATTGATTCCACAATTGCAAACACTTTCTTGACTTTTCTGGCACACACACAAGCCCTTCGCAGACAGCCTGTCCACCAGAACTCAGTGGGAAAGTATGCGCTTTGCACAGAAGGAGACGTAAGTTTCAATCTCCAGATACTGCCAGCTGCAAAAGAACTCTGGTAGCAAGGGTCAGAATAAAAGCTAGTGTAAGCTAGTGGCTGAAGTGTGGGAGACTCGGGTTCAAGTCCTCACTGAACCATGGAGTAACTTGAGGCTGGGCCCTCAATCTCAGCTCAGCTTCCCTTGGAGTTCTGTTGTTATGGGGATAAAATTAGGACCCTCCCATGGAAGCCGCCTTGATTTCCCCAACAAAAAGTAGTATATGCATATTGCACTAAGCCATAATGAGGGGTACTGAGAGAGAAGATGGCTTAGCATATCATATAAATCCAGCCGTTGTGCTTGTGATCTATGGGCCATGGCTTAGTGTGTTGTGTGAATCTGGTCCCTGGAGACTGACTTTCAGTTTAAACAGCACAGCAAGTGTCCAACGTGTGTGCCACCAGATGAGCTTCATCACAGCTTGGTGATGGTGGCTTAGAGGACATTTCTTCCCTGTGGGTGGCTGAGACTTGGAGATGGGGCCAGCCACGTTCCCTGAGCAGAGTTGACATACAACTTTGCTACACCAGACTCAAAAACTAACATGGCGTAAAAGCTGATCCAACAGCGCAGCCTAATCATATACAAAATATGTATGGACCAGCTATTACTAAGTATATTAGCACCTCCATGGTAATGGTAACCAGGGTGAGAGCCAGTTGGAGTAGTGGCTAAGGCACTGCACTAGAAACTGGGAGATCATGCATTCTAGCCCTGCCTGAGGCACAAAGCCAGCTGGGTGTCCTTGGGCCAGTCACTCTCTCTCAGCCCGAGGAAGGAGGCAATGGCCTTCCGAAATCTTGCCAAGAAAACTGCAGGGACTTGTCCAGGCAGTCGCCAGGAATCAAGACTGATCTGAAGGCACACGCGTACACACACAAAAAGATAAGCCAGGGCTCCCATTTTCAAGTGGTGGAATTAAGAACCAGACGTCCAGGGGAATACCTGATAAATCTTGTCTTAGCAATTTTGCATCCTTCTCCCTCTTGAAGCAAATCTATGTCATTCTTATGTCCCATCACTGTGATAACTGTCTCACTCATGGAATACGCAATGCATGTTTAAACTATCTGTCCTCTTGTGGTCATTTTACCTAAAAAGGGGTTGCTTTCATGACGGGTCCTTCTGGCAGTCATAGCATCTGTACCCTCCTGAGGCCAATATCTTTCAGAGTTGCAGTATTATCAGTTTAGTATGGGGGATTCTGCTACGGAAGTAGGCCTTACTTGACCATGCCAGGAAAATCAAGCCAGGGAGATGTCCCACTGCATTCTGAAATTGGCTTCATTGGGTCTCTGAGAAGATCGGATTGCGAAACTGAGGACAGGCAAAGCATCAAATGAATGACAGAAGGAGAGGATGCCCTGGATCCTCAAGGGGAAAACTGATGCAGAGAAATGAAGACATTTTTGCAAGAAAGTGAACTGGATCTTTTAGAAAATGGCAGCTCTTGGAACATGTACCTGCAATGCCATTTTTACCCCCCAGGCAAAGAGCCTTTCTAGCACCTTTTAGAAATTACAAGATATGTGTTCTTGTGTTCTCATTATATATACAGCAAATACTATCTTCTGTACTTCATCATATCCCTACTGAGTAGCAACTGCATTCTGGAGAACGATTGACTGTGTTGCTTCACTCCCAGAAGATGTGCCAGATTTTGCTGCAGTACCCTCTTCAGTGTGTTCAAGCCATCAGAATTCCCAGAGAGGAGAGCCAACAGCTGTGTCTGTTAGGAATTCTGGGAGTTGTAATCCCAATATCTAGAGGGCCTCCAATGGGAATGAGCATCTTCTTGGGAAGTTCAGAGAGAGGGAGGGCAGCTAAGCCTGGAACTTTGTTTTTAAGTCAACCCTCCCCCTGTCCCTTGTCTAGGAGTACAGAGATGATCTTGAAGAAGGAAGGCAACTCTTCCGCAAACATCAACTTAACCCTGAAAGGGAGGAGGGGTTGAAGAAAAAGCTCAAGATTACCCCGCTCTGATTCTCTTTAGCATAAGAGGGGAGAGAGAGGGAATTTGTCAGACTTTCCAGATTCTGTTATTACAGCCTGCAACAATAAACTAGGGAGACTTTCTTGGGAGACTCCTGGGAATGCTGGCTAACCAACAGGGTTGGCCAACCAAAGAGAGGCTACAAAGGAAGCGAGAGGCACAGGTATACTCCCCATCATCAACTAGGAAGAGCAAACCTGCTACCTCGAGGGCAGCCTTCTAAATGGCTCATGAGTTCATAAAAGTTTTTTTTCTTTTTAAGTAGCCAACATTACAACATCTATTGGATAATGGCCAGAGATCAAGTTGCAGGAACTTCTTGCTCTTCTGTCAGCAGATTTATGCTCTGGCTGCAACTTCAGAAAGACTCAGGCACTTTATCCCAATAAAAGGCAGATTTGGATGTTAATGTCCAAAAGATGTATTGCCATTTTTTAAAAACATTGTTTTTGTTCGTTGTTTTCTGCTTATCTTTTCTGAATGCAATGAACAATTTTAAAAAAGATCTTAATGTTGATGCCCATGGTTGGCACAACTTGCTACTCTTCCTCTGATTAGCAGCAGTTCACTAAGGCTTCATGGAGAGATGGACTTTCCTCCTATTTAGTCCTTAATTAAAAAAAAAAAAAGGTATAGATCCAGAGATTATATGCCATGGATTTATGCTGCTGGATTACAGATCCAATGGCTCCAGGGCAGCCCTGACCTATCAGTGGAAGAACCATTTGGCAGCCTCTGGCAGGAAATCTGAGAGATCATTATGGACAAGAAACAGATCTGTCCAATGGAGCAGAACCCCAAAAAACTTGGCAGCAACCATCTCCTCAAGATTTGTACCAGCATCTTGAGTTGATCTGACTTCTTGACAACTCCACAGGAAGCAAAATCCCAGCACTTTGTCCTCCCACCCCGCTTCCACCCGTCTGCTGGGCAGAGGGTCAAAAAAAGTCAAGGTGGCAGTCCTAACCACGCAATTGAAGCCACTGGTATTAAAGGGGGGTGGGGCTACATTGCATGGTTTTGGCCACCATCTTGACTTTTTTGACCTCCAAGATGTACAGAGTCATCCCTGGGAGGGGTTAAGAAGGTCAGCATGCTTTCCTTTCTTTCATGGCCTCCTTCCCAATTTGCAGAGGACACCTACACCTGATCTAGACTGCATATTACTAGTGGAATACTTATCATGGGGTGAGAAACAAGTTTTAGAGAGGAAAAAATAGAGAAGATAAAATCACTAGGACTACCCTTCTGCAATCTGGTCTCTTGTTAGAATAAAACTACTACTACTACTACTACTACTACTACTACTAATAATAATAATAATAATAATAGCAACAACAATAATAATTTGTTGAATTTATATGACACCTGACTCCCATCCACTCTGGGCAGCTTACAATTGTTAAAACCTTTAAAACCAAAGAATACAAAAAACGCAAAAACAGCACAAGATTAATTCCTCATGTGAGGACTAACTATCATCCTCATGTGAATAGCTGGAGAAAATAAACGAGGAATATATGTTATTGTAACTTTCATTAAACAATGGGCATTTTAATTATTCTACTCTATATATCCAGGGATATCCACAGGGAAGTCAAGCCCACACAATCAAAGCCTCACTCCTTTTTCCATGTGCCATACATGAAAAAAGGGCAGGGCTGCATCAGGTCATAACCCCCCCTCCCCAGAATGCCCCGGCTCAAATCTCCCAAATCTCACTGATCAGCCCTGCTCTGACATACAGCAAGATAAGCTGCCTCTGCTTCTCCCGAAGGATCAGAAGCGCAGTTGATCATACCGTTTTCTTATTTTAGAACAAAGGGGTTAAGCAACCTTTACAAGAGAAATGAAGGTATTTGTGTAGGCCAGTGGAATCTTGCAACATCCACAATTTGTAGAATGAAAGCTCTAAAAAGAAAAGCAATTTCTCATAATCCTGACAATATTTAAGTGGAAGAGGAGAGTTACAGACAAGTCAGACAGTTTTTAGCAACAAATTCTGATGGAAAACAGACCCTGGGCTTAGCACAGCTGCTACAGAAAAAAAAGGCCACGTAGTTTATGTACTA